ACGATTGTTCTTATGAATGAGGACTGTAGCTTTGAATCTACTTGGCGCTGGGTTTTCTTGTTGGAATTCTGGCACCGAATTTTATTACCATTACTCGCGTCACCATGCTAGTAATGATTAATCAGCGTGGGGCGATGTGTGAAAAACGAGCACAAACGCACATAGTCCAAATGAAAAGGCGACAGAAGGGCTTATATTCAAAGGGTTTACAGGTGTTTATAATAGGCCAAATTGGATGCACCGTAACATATCCGTAAATATATCTAGGCTCTTGGGTAGCTCTTCTATCTGTAGCATCTTTGCTACCTATATCTAACAGATCTGCCTTTCAGAGATGGTTTCTCTGTACGAATTACACCAATTTGTTATCTCGCTTATTTTTTTATCGCAGTGCCTAACATCGTGTAACAGCGAAGTGCCTAGATTCTGACCATGTTTTAGTGTGCGCACGCCTTGTCCTTCTTGTTCTCGCTTCAACGAAGCTCTTAACTTTGCTTCTCACGTGCAACTTGAACTCGCGGTTCGCAGCTCAGAAATATCATGAACTGGCTCACTAGTTATCAGTGACAAACGAGGCTAGTGAACCGGACGCTGACTAGAACCGTCATAAGTGTGCCAAGTATGCTTTCGACATATGCAACACGTCCAACTTAAAACCTACGAACTGTATATGAATTTATGCGGCATCGATCAGTTTAATCGAAGTATAGAAACAAATTCCAATTGATACTGAGTTTCAGTGTGTCCGTAACGCGCTGAGGCGATGACAGACAATGCGTTTGAATTGTTCGGGAACGCTTTTGGATGCCAAAACCCGTGAGATGTAGAAAGCCAGTGCTATCAGGAACAGCCGAATGCTGTTCCATATCCGGAACACGGGTCCAAGGAAACCTTTAGTTAGTGATACAGTAGCTGAGAAAGACGCACAGTTGGTCCACTCTCAATCCTGTCGACTAGCCCGTTATGTGGAACATTTTGATGAGCAGTTCAGCAGGCCTGCTCTGCCACCGCCGTTTGCTGAATCACCTGGGTTGTCGTGGGGCGTTAATCTCACACCTCTCGGTTCAAAATGGATTCGATATGAGTTTCCCGTGTTTAAACAAATTAAAGCTTCTGGAACTAAGGACCACCCTCCATCTTTGTTTAAATACGGTGTTGATTCGGTTGGCTGGACTTGCTACTCTATTCAACACTGGGGCAGTGAAGAGGTGCCTTCAGACTGGCGATTATCAACGGTTATGCCCATATTCAAAAAGGGTCAATGAACTTTATGTGAAAATTATTGATTTATTAGCCTTATTTTTGTTGCGTCCAAACCTCTCACGGGTATCATTCTTCGGCGAGTTAGTGGTCCTCGTGAAAGCCGAATTCTTGAACGCCATACTGACTTCCTCTTTGGTAATGGTTGCACCAACCACATATTTTTGGGGTAGCGACAAACGACTGATCGTTGTTTTCCATGACTTGAAAGCCTCCTTCAACTCTGTTGATCAAACCAGCTTGTGGCACTGCTTATCCCTAAAGGGAGTGCCTGGAAAACTCCTTTCCATTCTGAAGTTAACCGTTCTATTGCAATCTGTCTCCTAAGTCCCCCACGACAGATGTACTCCACTAGGCTTGTCCTATTTCTCTGTTCTTCAGATTTCTGCTTGAAATGGTCATAAATTACTCTATCCTTTCATCATCTGGAGTAGGCTTTCTGTCAAGTGACCTACCGACAAATGCGGGCGATATACCACTTCTTGGGTCTCACGCAGTGGCTATGCAAGTACCTGAGTAGTCTGACGCGTAGTGCTGCACGCTTCGGCATGTGCTTTGCACTTTCAAAGTGCAAAGTATTGTTGTAGGACTGGACTGATACGCCATCGGTTTCAGCTATCGGCTCACAGCTACTGGAAGTGGTAATCGCTTCACTTACCGTGATAACTGTGTCACCTCTAGTGGTCACATCGCTGAGGACGTTATTTTGCATAGCAGTAAGGCTCATGTGGCATTTCAAAAGCTGTTATCTATGGATACGACGGGATTTCAACCTGTCAGTAAAATGTAGGGTGTATACTGCTGTGATAAGGTTAGTGTTATCGTATGGATCAGAGACCTGGCCAGTTCGCAGTGGAGACAAAATCTTGGCCATGTTTACGTACCAGGCTCCGATGGCTTGGCCACGTGTTGCTCATGCCAACACACCGACTCCTGCGACATGCATTGTTTGCGCGCCGGGGTTTGTATATGGACAAGGAAGGAGACCAACCGATGACTTGGTCAAGAGGGATGAAAGCTCTTAGTTCGAAGTTGGCCTCGGTTGGAGCATCTCGGCTCTTTTGTTGGTGTCCGAAAGACGATGAACTCGTTTGGCTGGACACACTTTTTGATATAGCTAGGAGCCGACCTCAACGGCGTTTGTGTTGTGAGTTTCTTCGTCCCTCCCCTTCCAATTCCGATTTTTTCCTAGGCATAATATACTTTTTTGCGGTACAATAGCCGGTCGGTAGCTCTCCGGAACAATGCCCATCCGTTACTGATGGCTCAGCTAGCGTGCCTTTGTTGCATGTTTTTTCTTGCGTATTGTGGCATACTAGCTGAAGTCTTCTATTTTTAACTGACGTGTATAATAGTGAGTTGACAATGTTTGGTCACCGGTAATTTCGGGATATTGCTCACATCTGGTGGGAACAGAATAAACAATACGGGTGTCCACCATTTGGTTTTGGCAACATGCCTTCTGGTCTCTCACTGGAATGTTTGCTAAATTCTAACCGCCAACATTGGCTAGGTCATGTCATCCGGATGCACGTTCCTGACTACCTCGGTATGTGTTACACGCCGTGCTGTGCGAAGTTGGGCGAAACCACAAGGTGGGCAGTCAATGACGTGGCATCAGAGCATGAAGAAACTGCCTGAGAAACTAGGTCAGGCTGGTGCTTACCGTCTTTGTGGATGGGGGTCTCGGGATGGTCCATAACAGTGGTTGGCGACCCTACTAGGCATAGCACATTCAGCCGTGCTCCTGCTTTCAGTTTCTTGCAGTCATCTGTTAATATTCACTTCACCCCGATTAGTTTTCCACACTTCTTTCCTGATTCCATTTTCTTTGTATTTTGTTCACGTAGCCTAGAGCTTGTCTCGTAATCTTGCGGTGCGGGTTCGAATCCGCGTCGGGATGGGCGTCCTCGCGGTATACTCAGCCCTCGTACGACTGGTGGTGGTCGCACAGCAGCGAAGCGCCGTTACGGCGTATATCTGACACATTGTTTTTTTATTATTATTTAACGTTCAAACTCATTTTCTTACCGTTGTAACTGATGTCGTTCCGGCGACGTGAGTCGTGGCAACTGGATCCACCGCACTTCGATGCCTTTCCTTTCATTAACCTTTTCGGTAGTACAAGTATGTGTTCATCCTTGTAAAACTGCCGGTGCTTGGACTGGTGACGCCTGTTGTGCCTTATCTCGTCGGTCGGATTGCGCTTAGTGGGCCTACGCATTCTGTCGTGTTCGTCAGTTTTTTCCCCATATTTTGACTGCGGTCGGTGCGCATGCTGACATGATGCCTGTCCGCCAGATGTCCCGCTTATATTTGGGCGCCATGACATTATCCCAGCTCACGTACAATCACTCGCCATTGCATGACAGGGATTCATCGGTACGATATATTTGTGCCAAAAATTCATTTACCGGCTTACGAAACTTCTACTATTTGCTAGTTAGGCAGATTCATGGTTTACTGATGAGTAGGAGGATTCTTGTTGATTCATGGTTTTTTAAGGCTTTACGTCAAACGAGCGGTTCCATCTTGGAGCGTTCCACAGACTGATCACCGCTACCGCCTTGTGTACATCTGCCACACATCTGTATTAAAGGAATATGGGCCAATCTTCGCCAGCATGCTCCCAGTCTTGTTCCTCCAGGCTTCCACTGGATGTGATGTACGCGCGTTAGGTATCGTCAGTGCGACGCCAACTATCCACGGTCCTTTTGAGAGCAACCGTTCCGTGTTTGCTTGCAGTGGCAATGAAACTTGGAAATAAATGCCACATGCACTACAGCCGGAACGATCTTTCCAGTTTGAGGTTAGCCCGGCTGTATCAAGCCAAGCTTGGCTCACTGCTCATTCAATTCCCTATCGTATTAAATCACTTAACGCTAGAGGCGGACTTGGCAGTCTTATTGACCTTGGCAGCCAATCACTCTTTGTCGGTAATTTAATGGTACACTTCCCTGGAGTAGTATTCGTAGGAAATTGTCATCTTTGGAGTGTGCATAAATCTTTGACTTCAAATGCCCGAGAAAATTATCTGAAACTTTGATCTTTGCGCCACCATCATCATTATACACCTTAGCTAAATGTGGAAAACACCTTATCACACTTCTCACCACGATGTGATAGCTGAAAGCACTCGGTTACAGTTTATGTTGACCGAAAAGTCGTTTAGCGCGTTAGATTTTTTGTTATCCTGGAATACATCACTTCACTTCACTCGTTTCATGGGTTGCGTAACTCGGTAAACTCGAGTCATATCTTGGCTGAATAATATAAATATTTTTACATACCTCCTTGGAAAACTCTTCAAAAGCAAATCGTCTACTGGTAGGATGGGAGTCATGCTGGAGATAAAATGAGGTCTCAAACGTTTATTTCTCACGCCAGTAGTGCTTAGAACCGTACAAGTCGGGTTATTGGTGTATATCTCATACACACTAGACATCAGTTTTGGTTCGAAGTATTTTTAGTTTTCTAAGCCTCAGCTAGTGGTACCGAAATCATTGGGCTATTAAATAGCGGACCTTTTGCGCTAAGACTAGTAGAGAGCCTCCCTCGGTCCGGCTCGTCAAATGCAAGCGGATTGTAGTGCAACTTCGATGGATGTGCTAAAGTCGCTCCGAAGAAACTTGTATACCATGAATATTTTCCAATTTCAACCAGTTTCATTGGGCATCGCATAGGCCGTGTGCATTGGTCGACGGGCAAAGTCATTTTTAGTATCTGTCTCCGGTAACCAGGTCATTCTGAGAACAACAGCTTGCTACCTTTCTCGCCGTGTTGTTCTTCTATTGTGATGCAAAGTGGAGGAAGCAGTGAGGCGATCGGTCCTTTACTGTATTCATCGCACCGACGGTTCTGATTGCAAAGCTTTCCTTATCGGACCAGCCTCACCTCTGACCGATTTCCTATAGTGGAAGGATGTCTGGATGGAGGTACTTTCCGATACGACGCTGAATCGGTTTTGATGCGCTGTAACGCCATTTTACCCAACTCGTGTACTGTCTTCGGTGGCGCAGATGCCCGCACCGTGAGTTCCTCTATCTTTCCGCTTCATTCATTTAGATTATCTATTCATTTTTTATTGGCGGTATAGGGAACGTTTACAAATGACACCATTCGTTTCTTGTGTTTTCTGCTCGGTACATTGTATTCGCCTTTTTATGCCCGCTGGTATCATTCCTTTACCACTTGTGTGCATGTGAATGACGAATGGGTTATATAAACGTTACCGTCACCCTTCTAGACATTCTCTTACCTCAGATATGCAGTTACCCTGCGAACACTGGGCGCAACAACTACATTTAGTACATGACCCATCTCAACCTGGAATCACTGCTATCGTTCTGTTTTGCAATCGGACTCAAAGTTTTGTTAAATATCCCGATTATCGGCACACCAGGCTTGTAGAATGGAAAACCCGATGCAGTTGTATCCTTTCTTTCTCCGTGTATATTCTAACCATATCCGGGATGAGATCTTTAGTATTTAACTTGAGAGCCTGCATACCATTTTCCTCCTACTGTATTTGTAGTCTGATGTGCCTGCGACCGACGCCTTATCTCACTTGTTAGGCCGTACGTCTGTATCATTTGGCGGTAGTATCTCACCAAGCTTTCAGTCCGTTTGGGAAACTACGAGTTACTCCTTACACAGGTGAGACGTATCCAGGAAGGTTTATGGAACTCATCAGATGTATAATTTGTCCGCCCCCCCCCTTTTCAGTAGTGCTAACCGACTAAGTGGACAACCATGTCTAACATAACGGTGATCTGCCGATGGCTTACTAGCGGTTAGCTTGCTCGGAAATAAATGATTAGCTTCTTTTTCACATTCTTCTGACTAACTTGTATGTTTCAAGCCTGGGACGATAGATACTCAGTTCTTATTTCATAGTTCCGTCACTGAAGCACTTTATCGTTATCAGCAGTTTTTTCATCATAGATCTTTTTGCGCACCCTAACCTTATGCTGTCTTTGCTCAACCCGCATTTGCTTGATCCATTTTGTTGACAGTCCATTCATTTCTGACGACCCAAACTTTTTCACAGGCATCGAAAAAACAGCAGCGATATCAGCAGGGCTAGCTCCTCCAGTTCGATCTCTGCAATTGATGGAACCAAGCGTAGCAACAAAAATGAAGAGTCTCGCCGTCGCGAGGAACAGAGGGCTGAAGAAGATCGATTGCTGTGAGATGTCGTGGTTGCTTTCTGTCTTGGAGTTTTATACCGTTCATTCAAACATTGTTGCTTTTCTTCAAAAGGGCGGATCACATATATTGGCATTGCCACTTTTTGCATGACGGTGGAGAGTCCTGATATTCCTTTATTAGGTTAACCTACCTTTCAGTTAATCATGTTTTCAGAAGCAAGGGGTTGCGAACAATCTGTTCGGTCGTTCTTCATCGGGCTATTAAAACACAACTAAACAAACTAGAGTGGACACCTAACATTTAACAGTAGTGCATCACTGAAACTAAGCACTTAATCAGTAAGGCTATGTGATTTGTCTGGTTAATGTGGAGTCAGGGGAAAGTGGTGTGATCTCCACTGTTTCTTCTGTTAGTATGTTGCCACTATAGACAGATGGTTTGAACAAATTTATCCTGTGCGCATAGATCCTGATTTCGGATCCGACTTGCGATTGCCTCTGCCATCGGTAGTAACCGGCATCTGACCTGGTATTTGGCTTCAGCGTACACAGTACTTGGGCTGGAATACATCATGCGAATTGATTAGTCAGCTAAGTACTACAGCACTACATAGGTCACATTCTTACTCTCATCACTGTAGAGCCAAGGTGGGCAGTGCTCGACGCGAGTAATAGCAATTATCCTCCTTAAGGAAAATCTGTGTCAGATGTGATCTGTTTTGAGTTGCTGGCGCACAGTAGTTGTTGAGGTGAAACTGGCGTTCTAATTGTGTTCTCGCAGTGGCTATGGAATGCCTTCGGGTGGTCCGTTCCGCTATCACATCGCCGATTATGGGCGCCGAAATCCTGTCAGAAATTCGCTTTGCTATACATCTAAGCACATTCCGCTCGCATTCAGTTGTTTTTGTTTCAAGGCCTCATCCACACCGTTTTCTCACCCAACTTATTACCCGGTCTGATGCAGTACCTTACACAGCATCGCTCTTTTCGTTGAAATCCACTTTTTCTGCTGTGGGTTAGCCTCGCACATCTTCTGCCTTTTATCGAACATTCAGCATTGTTTGGCTCTTCTTTACCGTAACTTTTCCGCTCAGTACTTCAGACTCTTTTTTCAAATTCTCTAGTACCGTAAACTTTTCCTATTTCACGAACAATAATAAGTTTTCATACGTAACTGGCATCCCGTTGAACATTGGACGAAAACTCCGCTGTTCCATAGCCTTTCTTAAGCTCATCTTAGTTGATTTGGTTGCGATCTTTTGTCCATCTTATTACTCTTTTTTTCCACTTCTAGTTTATGCTTTTTGCAGACCCATGGCTGTTGTATTTGTCTCACCTGAATTTACGCAGTCAGCCGCTTAATCAGACTTCCTGCTCTTATTTAACCACAGGCGCCAGCGCTGGGCCGAGTCGAAATTGCTTGAAGAAGAAGTCGCTCGACGTTTGGAGCGCTATTTAGACAGTGAGCTATCAAAGTTACTTCGTGAGCGGGAGGCTGAATTTAGAGCTGAAATCGAGAGGCGTGTGGAAGCAGAGCGGGTCGAGCTTTTGCGCCGACGAGCCGAAGAATCGGAAAGAAAAGCGCGTGAGGAAGCCGAGGCGGTGAAACGACGTGAGGTATGACTTATTTATGCTTTATATATTACCGATGATTTAAAGTAGCACATATTTTGCATTCATTTTACTTTCTGTCACGTCCTCATCACCATCTAGCTTAGTATTAACGTGCTCATATTCATTTGTGAATTTTCGATGCTATGCACCGTTTTGACGAAGGATTTTGTTGTAACGTTTCTTTTCTACCTCTGCTCTCTGCCACTGACGACTGTTGTACGGTTGCTAGCTACCCTATGAGACTGCGACTGTCTGACTTCTCAGTCACGCGCCAACCCAACCGACGGAATACAGAAGACCAAGGTTCGGTAAACAGAGAGTCTATCTACACCATAAGTTAACTGTATTTATAGGTAGCCGAAACATGCTAATTTAGGAGAAGACCGCTCATTTTTGTGCGTCCGGTTTTCAGCCAGTGTGAGTGAGTTCCACTCCACGGGTTTAACATATTGACAGTATAGTTCGATTCGTTTTACGCGGACTGGTAATTGCTGGCCGATCAATTCTCAGTCGATACCCAACTTTAGCTCCGCTTACGTCTCTATTACCTCCCCCTTCAACTTGTTTGCTCCTACCTATTTTCCGCACTTGGGATTGGTCGTAGCTTTTTACCCTGGGGTCCACTTGTAGCCATCGCTTTTGCCTTCTTCTTCTACTTGGCCTGCATGTCACATCGTGTGGAGTCTGTGCTACCGGCTGTGTTCCGCTTTGGGGACCATTTCTGTTTTCTAAACCGAATGTATCCAGTAGTATGTCCCACTGTGGTGCCGCTAGCTCTTGATCTCTTTGAGTTTTGCCAAGCTGCTGTCGTAGATGATTGATATGTCTGGTCCACTTGTCCTTTCCGACCATTATCTCATAAATAACTTTACCCCTCTTTCCACTAACCGTTTCGCTAACCCATCTTGCCGGGGTCTGGAAGTTTCGTGCATACACCAAGTCGCCAATCTTGAACGTGCGAAGCCTGTTATCCTGCCCCCTTCTCGGTTGTTCGTTGCGTTTTTCAACATTTCTTGGAATCAGGCTATCGAATGTCGTTCTAACTTTTCGTCCAAATAGACATCCAGAAGGAGATTTACCCTCCGGTGTGTTTGGATTCGGAGTGTTTCGATACGTTCTCAAAAACGGCTAAATTTCATCTCGTGACACCCTCGTTCCTTCCGCTTTGAGAAGAGCACGTTTAAAGGTATCTACAAACCGTTCGGCTTTCCCATTCGATTGTGAATGGTACGGCGGCGAAAACTTGTGCTGGATTCCGTTTTGCCTGCGAAATTCTCTGAACAGCGTTGAGGTGAACTGGGCTCCGTTGTCTGTAACCAGCATCTCCGGGGTGCCAAAATACTGGAACAGTTTGTTCAGCTCATTGATAGTGTGCTGGGCATCGGGATCACGTCGGGCCATTTTGTGTAGGAATCAACAAAAATCCAATAAGCTTGACCGTTGATTGGTCCCGCATAATCCAAGTTGATTCTCTGCCAGGGCTTTTCCGACTCGGGCCAAGGGTGCCACGAACATCTCGGAGGTGCCTTTGCCGCTTGTTGACAAAATTCACAACTGCTCGATTTCTGCATCCATTTGAGGCCAATACACAAAACTTCGCGCCAGTGCCTTCATTCGGCTGGTTCCCGGATATCCTGAATGAAACTGCTGTAGTATTCGCTTCCTCAACTTCCTTGGTACCACGACTCGCTCTCCAAACATTAGACAATTGTCAACGACCGAAAGGGATCCGCGTCGATTAAAGAAAGGTTGTAGCTCATTCTAATTTCTGACCTTAGGCCAACTGGACCGTACAAACCCTATCACTTTCAGCAAGATATCGTCTCGAGCCGTCTCTGCACGACGCGTGTCCGACGTTACTGGCAACTCCCTTACACTGTCAACCAGGATGCGCTGAACTTCCGACTCCAATTTGACAGATGCAATCACACATTCATCGTTTTCCTTCCAGTAGGAACCGAGGAGGCGAGATAAAGCGTCAGCTTGGTCGAGTTTTTGTGTAGATCGATACTGTATATTGAACTCGTAAGCCAGCAGTACCGTTGCCCATCTCTGTAAGCGACTTGCTGTGAAAACAGAAATACCTTTCTTTGATCCAAATATCGAGAGTAGAGGTTTGTGGTCCGTTATCAGTTCGAAAGGTCTACCATATAGCATCTTATGAAACCGTTTCACTGCGAAAACAATCGCCAGCGCTTCCTTCTCAATCTGGCTGTAATTTTTCTCCGCCACTGTCAGCGACCGTGCTGTGTGCGCAATGGCCTTCTCTTCCAGGAAACACATGAGAAATGATAGCACCTACCCCATAATTGGAGGCGTCCGAAGCAACAACAATCTCCAAGTTTGGGTTGAAGTGGGTCAATAGTAAATCAGAAGTGAGCGCTGTTTTAACCATATCAATGGATTGTTGGCACTCCTTTGTCCATCGCCATTCTTTCCCTTTCATCAGCAACTGGTTCAGAGGACCTCTAGTCTGATGTAGACTTGGCAGGATGGCATTATAATGAATTATAAGACCGAGAAATGAACGACGTTCGGCAACATCCCTTGATGGTGGCATTTGCTTGACGGATTCTATATTAGCGGGATCCGGACGTCTGCCATGTTTGTCAATGATGAACCCGAGAAATCTGATACTTTCCATCAGGAAATTGCATTTTTCCGCTCGTAACCGGAAACCAGCTTCTTCTAGACGAGTGAGCACTTTCTCTAATGTGGCCAGCAATGCTTGTGGGTCAGACCCCATAATCAATGCATCATCCAGGTATACTGCGACCCCAGGGATATCGTTTAGCAGCGTATCCATGATTTGTTGAAAAATGGTGGGAGCAGTTTTCACTCCGAATGGCAACCGATTGTACCGGAAAAGACCCAGATGCGTATTGACCGTCAATAGAGCTCTGCACTTCTCGGCTACTGGAACTTGTAAGTAAGCATCAGCTAGATCGAGTTTCGCAACCCATTTTCCACCGTTAAGCTTGGTGAACAAATCTTCAGGTATGGGCAAAGGGTACTGGTGGTTCTCCAACATGGAATTTAAGCCGGTTGAAAGTCAGCACAAATACGTACCTTGCCGTTTCCTTTCTTTATCACAACGATGGGTGCCGCCCATTCTGAGTAATGTACGCGCTCGATTATGCCTTCGGACTGCAACCTATTTAACTCAGACTCCACTATTGGTTGTGTTGCGTACGGCACTGGACGTTTTGGTCTAAAGACTGGTCTGGCGTCTGGTTTGAGGTTCAGCTCAGCTCTGGCTATCCGGCAGCATCCAAGACCGGGTTGGAACAAACTTTCGTGGCGTCGCTTCAGTTCTGCAATTTGACTGTAAAGTTCGAGGTTCATATTTGCGTCTCTGTGGGTTTCTCAGCTTGTAATTTCTGGCATATACTGTTGACTGACTGGCCAAGTAATTTCAATTCCTCCATCCAATCGAGACCCAGCAAATTCAATCCTGGTTGATCTGTCACAAAACAGGTTGTAGAAATGTGCTGATCACGGAAACTGACCTGACAATGCAACTCTCCGAGAAGCTTCAAAATACCGCCGGATGCGTTTCGTGCTGTGTGGTCTGTATGGACAAGTGGTGGTCGTCCCAATATACACCATGTGTCTCGACAAATCAAAGTGATATCTGACGCAGTATCCAACTGCATCTTAACTTCCTTATCGTTGATCTTCAAAATTGTAAACTTACGCCTGCCGACACCGTCAATCTTGAAAGTCGCCGTCACAGTTTTGGCCTCGTTGTGACATCGGAAGCGCACCGGGATTCGACACCGTGTTCCGCTCATTGTTGGTCGCTTCGCAAGACAACACGACTCTTTGTGTCCTCGCTTACCACAACGATTGCAAATGTGATTTCGGAACAGGCATTTTCGACCAAAGTGCCATTCCTGCAAAACCAACAAGCAAAAGAGGGTTTAGAATGTGGTGAACTCACATGAACTGATTCTTTCTGAGGATTTCTGCTGACCCTGCAAATGATGTTCTGACTGCTCTGGATAGAGGACTGTTGGATCATTACAGCACCATGCTTCAAGTTAATCAACCGTTGGCATTCGTTCGTCACTTCCTGCAGTGTGATCTCGGGATTTTGTTCAATTCTGCTCAGTACTCTGGTTCGGGCATCCGCATCTTTGGTTGCTTGAAGACCACACACATAACTAAGGCACTTGTACTGCTCAGCTGTCATCTTGTGAAACAGCGACCGTTCACACTCACGATTTACGCGACTCGAGTAAGTAACCCAGTCTTCGTCGTCTCGCTTGGTCATTGTCAGACACTTGTATCGGATATTGAATAATGTCGACTGCTTTTCAAATATCTGATACAAAGTAGCAACCGCTTCATCGAATGTTAAGCCAGTGCTCTTTTTCGGCAAGATGAAATTCATAAACTTTTCGTGCTCGGCCGCACCCAATTTCCGCAGCATGAGGCGTACTCTCTTGTCCTCTGAAGCACCGGCTAAATCAACGCGAAACAGGTCTTCGTATTTATGGAACCACGATTCAAAGGTAATACCAGCATCAGCATCGTAACGGAACTCACAAACTTGCTGGGTCAAGGTTTCTGCTGAGGGGCAACGTTCACTTGTTCCTGTTACCGAGCCTGCCTGTAGTGACATATTCTTGGTCAGCGTTTCGATCAACTTGGCCTGTGCTTTCTCAAACTGCGCCTGCTGTTGCTGCAACAGAGACTGAAATTGCTCAAAACTGACTGACATCTTTGGGTTCTTCTGACTCCTGTCGCCACTGTTGTAACGCTTCTTCTTTACTTCTGCCCTCTGCCACTGACGACTGTTGTACGGTTGCTAGCTGCCCTATGAGATTGCGACTGTCTGACTTCTCGGTCACGCGCCAACCCAACCGACGGAATACAGAAGACCAAGGCTCGGTAAACAGAGAGTCTATCTACACCATAAGTTAACTGTATTTATAGGTAGCCGAAACATGCTAATTTAGGAGATGAAGACCGCTCATTTTTGTGCGTCCGGTTTTCAGCCAGTGTGAGTGAGTTCCACTCCACGGGTTTATCATATTGACAGTATAGTTCGATTCGTTTTACGCGGACTGGTAATTGCTGGCCGATCAATTCTCAGTCGATACCCAACTTTAGCTCCGCTTACGTCTCTATTAGATTTGCGTCAGGACCATTTGGGGTTGTCACGCACTGGTCTCGCGCTGATCGATATCCAGGTGACCAGCCAGTTGTAATGCATCCTTGAGGTATTGTGTGTCATATAATCACTGGTGCATCAATGGGGTGCACTGTCCTTTCGATCTGTCCCCAATTTTCATCGGGAACCCTCGGACATAATATGCTAAACGCTAACGTTTGCTGTCTCCCACCGCTTATGGCAGCAACTATGCGTCTTCAGTATCACAGCCCGACGCAACCGCTTGTGGTTGTGTTGCGGAGCTCACATGACTCCGCGAACCTTGGCCATTTTGCCTGAACTCATCATACATTGAGTCAAACTGCGCAGGTAACAACTGATCTTTCCTCAGGACACATTGCTCCATTTACCGTCTCAAACCGCGGTGAATCAACTGAGCTCTCCTCAGGGCACTGTTATACCTACCGCTCCAACCATACTGACCTCAGCTGCATTTTCTTCAGGACACTGCCACTATGTGGTAACTCACGAGCCTTACTAACATGCACCTTCTTCTATAGTTTATGTATCACGCTGCTATGTTGTTGAGCTATAGATATGTTGTGTAGAAGACATGATTTGCCTTTGGCTGAGTCAGCAAACGAACTCTTCTTATCGGTTTCGGTCCAGTCTGCGAGGATTCCCACTTCGTCTCTAGTCTCAGCTCGCGTGTACTACGTCTGGTGGCCAGGTCCCTTAGATCATACCGATCCGAATTCAGTTAGCTGCTCTGCGCGTTGTGTATCATCGGGGAGGAATGTTTTGTCCGTTTCGACTAGGAGTCAAAACAACTAGGATGTGTTGTAACAGGTTGCTTATCAACGAATAACTGATGCAAGTTCTGACGAAAACTTTTTCACGATCGATTAGGTTAACTTTTTAGCGCCTTAACGACCATCTATTGATCACTCATTCAAACGATAGACACGGAACCACGATCCACGGATGATTAAGTCAACATTGTTACTTGTATTCATACACAGTAAATACTTCAGAGTTGGCTTGGGGCTTGTTCACTTACAAATACAATTTGGAAGTTGTTTCCACATCGACCATTTTACCTGGGGCAGGATCTTGTGTAAGTAAGTGGAAGATCTTGATTTGTGTCCCAGCGAGAAACCGAAAGTAGTTATTCAAACCACCTAGCGCGACAGCTGCACTTTCAGTGCCTGACATGGGACTGATAAACTTAGTCCACGTCTTGCGGAAGATTAGGTTGTCCTCTTAAATGTGGCGCCAGTCGGCGACACTCAATGTTTCTGTGTTGCATGCAAGCGAAACATGCTGTTTTAACCTGAAGACTTGGAGCGAGACCCAGGAAGTAGTTGTTTAGATGTATCTATTAGTTTGTCCTTGGGTTTACACTTGTCATTCTCTATCAATCTCAGTGTCGACTCGCTGTCACCCTTAGTGTATCTAGATTCTATTTAGTAATGACATTACTAATTTCTAACTGGCCACTACTAATTATTCACGGTTTTCTTTACAGGAGGAGAAAAAACGCCTTAAGGAAATCAGCGAACGTTTGATACTGGAGAGGGAAAGAGAGCGAGAGGAAAAACGACGACTCGAAGTAAGCTGTGTTTTGGAAAGACTATTAACCCGTTTATGCCTAGTGTTTCATAATCGGAACAGTGGTCACGTGTCGGTTGTTTTTAGTTTGCTCATCAAGGTCGACAACGCAGTGCACTTTATCACTTCCGCCTGACTCGTGGGTCTCTATAGTATCGCCGCGTGCACATGGTTAGTCAGTGATGCCGATTAAGACCTGCAGCGATGCTGTTCAAGATGGTTCTGACTCTGACTCACGATTTCCATCCTCCGGCATAAATGGGTTAATGCCTTCTGTCGAGTTTCTATGAATCCGTCACTGTTACACCTCTATCGCATGCTGTGCTTTCGATTCGCCGCTTCCAAAAATACTTTAAAGTTTGCTGAATTTACATTGGATTTCCTTCGGCTTCCAATAGCTACTAGCAGAACATTTTTCTTCGAAACGGGGAGGAAGCGACAAGCTTACCGGTTATGTCGAGTTTCCACAAATCTGTCTTTTGGTCCTTAGGGCATGGAGATATTAAATCATCCTTTGACACATTTCTTCGGAAGTCATCTAGTCCTACCGCGATTTTTTCTCGATCCCATGGTTCTAGCGTATCCGCGACCCTTCCATCTCGGACACCATAGACACGAATCAACAGCAACAGGAATTCGTGGTGCCCAGCCGATGCTGAATTTTTTTGTCATTCAGCTTTTAAATCTGTACCTCTATACTGTCTACGCTGGATCTTATTATTTCAACGCGTGATTTGAGTCGCCTTCATCAGGTTTTCCATTCATTTTCTAATGAATTTAAATCATTGCTTTTAAATCGGACTGTCATGCAAACTTGATCCTATTATTAGCTACTAAACAGATCCATCGTCAATCAACAAATATCTCTCTCTTCACAATTTCTTTTTTATGTCACCTAGGAAGAAAAGCGGCAAAAGCAATACGAAGCTGAGCTCCGTGAATTAGAAGAACGACAGAGAATGGAACTGGAAGAACAACGGCGAATAAAGCGGGAACAGGAGATCATTCTTAATAAGAAAAAAGTGCGACCAAAGCTTTGTTTTTCCTTGAAGAAATGACATTTTTGGAATTTGCAATGGTCGATGTATCTACTGTGGCGTCCTTCAACACAGCTTCGCCTGTCCCCTCTGCACCTAGTGTAACTCCTCTGGCTATTTTGTGAAACCTGTGCGCCAGTGAAATGGTGCAATCTTTGTACCTAAGCCCTTCATATTGTACATAATAAAAATCATCCCAAACATGTTGACTCTGCTATTGTTCGTTTTCTCTATGTGGCCGCGGAGCCGATTTGCATTGTTGCATCAAATTTTGGTCCCTATTATCTATTTCCGTCTTACGTTCCTTCCAGTTCTTTTTATAAAATTGTTTACATATACGATTATAAGCACACTCTGTGGTACAGGTAATATGCCATCCGAATCATAACAGAGTTGGAATAAGCTGAAAATAGCTGGGACTATCGAATTATGAAAAACCGAAAGCATTTGTTTGCGAATCGTCAGCGGTAGTGTTTGGTCAGTTAATCGTTTATCCTCGTTCGGTTAGAAATTCATATTGGTGTCATTATTTCCGGGTATACGATGTCTTCTTTTGGCATTGTATGTTCACCGTTTCACAAAAGCCCAGGTTTCCGAAGTAATCGTCGATATGTGTTTTAAAAAATTCCACAGAATCCGCCTCTATTAATCCTTCTGGTAGTGTATTCCATAAATTTACAATTCTCCGTTTTATACAAAGCTGATGTGATACCTTGTTCATGCACAGGACCCTGAGTTTGTAACGGTGTCCTCGGGTGTTACGACTTTCCCGCAGTTGAGATATTGGCCGCAGTATGGGGAAGTGATTCAAGTGTATTACTCGATGGGTCATAATAAGGTCAAATCTCACTCGGCGGTAGGATAGCGACACCAAAAATTTACTAGTCACAGATCCTTCACCTTCTCGCATTGATTCGTTCACTGTTTTCAATTTAAACGAGCTTTCGAACTTTGCGTTTGTTGTGTCGGAGTATCTGATCGCCTCTCACTGTTCAACATCCCTATTAGCATAACCAGATGCTTTAGTTGTGTCCACGGTACTATGCAGCCGAGACGCTTGTAAACTCACATAGTTGCTACCTGTTTATTTGGATCGTTCGATTCAGTTTAACAACTATGATCCGGCCACCGAATTGCAGTGGATCCCGTTGCCACGACTCACATCGCAAGAATAACAATAACCCCGGTAAATAATGGCGTTGGGTGCAAATATAATGCGCAGAAAATGAAAGCAAGAAGGAAATTCTTTAGACTAAGCAGAATAGAATGAGAATTAACAACCAAATGATAAAGGCCGGATAAAGGAACGCCACTGACTTCGTGAATGCACTATGTCTGACACGGTCTCCAGCAGTTGGTGTGAACCGTCCCGAAGTCGCCATCCAGGAAGACGGCATGCAGCAGCCTGACCAAATCTGTCATTTTCTCCAAGCTTATGTGCCATGTAATGTACTGCCCACCTCGTGGTTTCGAGAATAAAAATTTATTTCATTAACGCAGTAAGAAGACGTAGGTTGCGATATGTTAACATTTCGATTGCTCTCGTCAGTCGCGACGCAATACAGACAGAACAAAATACGCATTAAATACGGTCCAAACTTAGTAACACAGGTAAACCGACAAGATTGATGTGAAGGATGTAATCAGGTCCAAGGCAATCTAATTGATTGCCTCAGTTGTTTGTGGGCACAGAGCTCGGGATAACTCAAGCTTATCAGTAACGCCTCGCCAATTGCCAACAACACTGTGTTCCTGTTGTGCAATAGCATCTTGAATGAATCGATTGGGTTCACCTGGTGACGAGTCGTCATTAAGTGTTTGGTGATAGACGAGGCAGGGTTCCGGTTGATACTTTGGTCCACTCCGCCTTGGTAAGACAGCAACTGCCTTATCCACAATGGCAAGTGTTCTGCCATCCTTTGAGCCAGCCGGCGACCAGTCTTGCCGATGTAAGTGTCACCGCAACTGCAATTGAACTGGTAGATGATGTTAGAGGAGGAACTGATTGGCGAGCTGATCGGACGGCTGTGGAGAGGAATCATTCGTATAGTGTAGATAAGTCATATTTTGGCGATAAAGAATATATATACATATATTTGTGGATTTTTGTGAGTAGTGTAATGTTCGTAGAAAGTAGAAGTCACGATTAAACTGGACACAATAATCTACCTTGACGGGAAATCGAAACCCAGTCCCACGAATTAGCGGTCCGCTGCTCTTCCACTGAGCTACCGAGGGCTGACGATCAGGTGCGCAATTTCCTACATTACTTCTGCTTGGTGCGCGACGTATTGCCAATGAACTCACAGTATCTGTCCTGGTGTTGCAGATTGGCTCACTCACTCGTCACTTCCCAATGGACCGAAATATTTGTCCTTCTGTTATCCAAATGGCGATGGTAGGTTACTTGTGGATTTTTGTGAATAGTGTAATCTTCGTAGAAGGTATATATATATATATATATATATATATATATATATATATATATATATATATATATATATATATATATATATATCCAGCCGTCTACGGATAGACATAGAGCCATCAGAACCCATGTAACTAAAAATAAGGTACAGAAATCGCAAAAGAAAACAACACATCGGAATCTATGGTTTCGCCAGAGGGCGAGATACTACCCGGTTGCCCAAGCCGAATTAGGGTGTTGACTTAGGGGACACCACCCCGATCATCATCATCATCAACAGCAGTACATCAGCCATTTGAACTGATGTTTCGCTGCCATACAACCACGAGGACCTATGAAATAAAGAATAAGAAGAGGGAGAGAAGGGGGACTTACCTGAAAACCTTAATGCCCTAAGCAAACATTCAGGGTCAAGGCGCCTACACCTTGTGTAGACAATATACCGTCACAAACAGCTGGCTATAATGCAAAGATAAGGCGGCGTCGGTGAGACAGCTTCTTTGTGGCTTTCACTGCCCCGCGTCACCACCCCGAGCCTTTGGCCGAATAGCCTGCCCACAAGGCAGCGGAGTGAACCCAGGGAATCCTGCCTATTCGGAGCCGGTGACTGATTACTCAGTTCATACGCCTTTCGTTTGTCAATCAGGGGCCCAGGATTACAGCATAAAGTTTCTGGGATACAATGCTTCGCCAGGATGAAGCGGGGGGCAGTGACTATTTCGCGGCGAGTCACATCCGCCACGTCACAGTGTTGTTAAATGGACAAATGGCTTTTTATAGGGAGAACACCTGCCAGGCGAAAACCCACCACGTCGTTGAACCACGAGGAGGTTGTTCGGCAAGCCAGGCGGACGATAGAGTAGGTGCGTATTAGAGCGGATCTGAGCTTGTGACCAACACCATTTGCTATATGATCCCGGTTGAACGATAAGAACAAAAACATTTTTTCCCCACTGTTTGTACTCGCAGGTTCTCCTTGAGGGTTCTGCTATGGGTCTGAATGAATTTCTCCGGATACCCATTTGATAGAAGAGTCCCGTATAAAAACGCTTCTTCAGCCTTAACCAATTCCGGCTGCAAATTCGCCTGGCCCTGTAGAAGAGACTTTTACGAGGCCGCGCTTGTATGCAACTGGGTCGGATCTGGAAAAATGTAGGTATTGCCCCCAGGTCGCTTTTTGCACTCAATGCGCTGCATTGTGCCATCAGTCCTTCTCCTGATGAGCACGTCCAGGAACGGCAGTCTGTCCCCTTGTTCTCTCTTCTGTGATACAGAAAAGTTAGGGTGAATTGAGTTCAAGAGGGTCGAAAGACGGTTAAAATGTTCACCATTTGTGGAGACGAGAATATCGTCTACCTAGCGCTTGTAAAGCCTTTGCTTCACCTATGCAGACAGCAACTTTCCTTTCAATCATGCCCAAGAAGAGATCTGCCAAAACTGGTCCCCAAGGACCACCCATAGTGACACTGTCGTTCTGTCTTTAAGCCGCTCCTCCAAATTCTACTTGCACATTCTCAGTGCACAACAATATCGTCTCTCAGGTACTCCAGAGGAAGTCCCGCAAAGAGGTTCCGACTCAAAAGAAATTGGCGGAACATAAGTTCCTGGGGACACAAAAGCGATTCGCGGTTGTTTTGAATGTCTTGTCACTGTTTTGCCATTTCAAATCTGAGGCATTTTCTGCCGTAACTCTCCACCGTAATAAGACCAAGACACTGTGCAGCCTTCAAGGTACCCTTGTGAGTGCAGCCAATACTCCTTTTCATACCGAGGACCAGAATCATGTGCGCAATCTGTCTACAGCTCGGTTCACTCGAGAACAGTTGGAAGTCCTTTCGCTGGGACTGAAATACCGAATACGGCCGAAGAAGGTAGAGAGGCTCCACACAGATTAATTTTGAATATCTGTACGATCAACTCAGCGACTTTTCGCCGAAATCAAGGGATGATGCAAGATGGTTTCGAGCAAAATTAGTGGATATCTAGAACCAGTTCCTGAAAGTGCCTATTAGTCAGAACTGTTGCTTTTAGTCAGAATACTATGTGATAATTTTCCTGTAGCCGGATAAAGGCATGGGTGTGGTAATAATGGACAAAGCTGATTACATCGCAAAATATAGAGTACATTCTCGGAGAACGACGCAAGTTTCGTATTGCTAAGGCGCTGGATAAAGGTATCTTGGTGGAGAAACAAATTGCAAGGCAATTACAAATTCTTTTGCTTCATGTTTATATCTCCGAGTCACAGTATCAGCAGCTAAAACCGACAGGGACGGGAATACCAAGGATGACGGGTGCGACGAGTCTGCACAAAACTGGAATTCCACTACGCCCAATAATGTGCATGAATAATTCACCTTACCACAAAGTAGCCTGGTGGTTGGCAAAGCTCTTAGAACCCGTGCGTAAGCTCAAGAGCACACATTTTGAGACTCCTTTAAATTGGTGTATATACTGGAACAAACAACGCTCGACGCGGAGCTCATGTATTCCATAGACGTGGAATCGCTTTTCACGAATGTGCCCCTACCTAAAACGGTCAGCGACCTGTGCCAATTTCTTTTGAGTCGGAACCTCTGCGGGCCTTCCTCTGGAGTACCTGGGAGACGATATTGTTGTGCACTGAGAATGTGCAAGTCGAATTTGGAGGAGCGGATTAAAGACAGAACGACATCACCATCATCAACAGCAATACATCAGCAATTTGAAATGAAGCTTCGCTGTCATACAACCATGAGGACCTATGAAATAAAGAATAAGAAGAGGGAGAGAAGGGGGACTTACCTGAAAACCTTAATGCCTTAAGCAAACATTCAGGGTCAAGGCGCCTACACCTTGTGTAGACAACATACCTTCACAAACAGCTGGCTATCGTGCAAAGATAAGGCGGCATCGGTGAGACAGCTTCCTTGCGGCTTTC